GGTTGGATCACAAAGAGAGAGAGTCTGCACTGGGGCCGTCCTCAGATAACAGTCAGTCAGGGAAGTGTTTGGGGGCCAGGAGATCAGGGGTTCAAGAAATTAGATTGACTGAGTTACCACCCGGTTCCTGAATGAGTCATTTTGCTTCCTTTCTTAATGGATTTCATTACAGACAGTCAAGTTTCCCTAAGCACTGCCATGTCTTGTTCTTATTTTGATTAGTCTGTTTGTTTGTTTGCTTGCTTGCTTTACAATTCTTCTGTGTTCAGTTAGTGAAAGGTTGTCAATGGATAGGAACAGCAAGAATCAATGATTATTTAACAAGTAATAAACTGACTGCAGTCAAACAGGCTTATCATTGGGAGCCTTGCTCCGCTATCAGATGCAAACATGGCAGATCTCATTTATTTAATTAGAAGCTGTTTTTACTGGACCCCTTCCAAGAGGACAGTGTGTGTATTCTGTGGCGTTTCAGGACTCCACGCTTTCAGAGGTTTCCTGGGTAGAAATCAAATCAAAAAGAACAGGTGAAATAAAAGGCTGTAACTGCCTTTTCTCCAGGAGGGTCTGTTGAATTCTTCCTTCCCCTTCAGCTGTTTGGGGATAAAAACCTTTATCCTCAGAACTAGGCAGATATAAATTACATAAAAATGTACCCAGTTCTTTTGGTGTTTTTCCCAGATTTAGAAGACATACATCTTGCCACTTCTTGATTAATTACTACATGGAAGTTGCTGAGAGGCAAGCTTGGCTTCACGTAACGAAGGGCTCACATGTGGCTGAAGAACGCTGCCAGGCTGGGTGAGGAGGGCTTGGGTTCTGGTCTCCAGGGCACGTGTCATTCTTTGTGGGATGTTGGTTGAGTTGTTTCCCTTCTTGGGCTTCAATCTCCTCATCTCTAGAATTCAGTGGGGATCTGTACATTTGCTTTTAGCTGCCCCATTCTGGAATCCTGGGAGCGTGTGGCAAGAAGGCTGTCCAAAGAAGGGCATGTAGGCGAGCCAGGGCAACAGGAGGGAACAGCTGAACGCTGGAGACTCTAAGTGGGGCCAAAAGGAACGACAAGTACAAATGTAAGGGGAGAAGAGTATACATTTATTCTAAGCAAATAATCACAGATGTAAGCAAAGACATACTTAGAAGAAGACGACGCTATGAACTTATTTGGATATCAGTATTTTGAGACTATTAAGTGAGTTGTGAGTGTGAAGATGTGACGTTCCTGCCACAGAACTTCTTGTTTCTAGGAACGGCAGATTAGTTATTTAGACCAATCCCCCTGCTGAAAGCAACTAAAAATATAGATTTTTTAAAAAATCTTCTTAGAAGCATCAACGAGATGAAAGAAAATAAGGATTACTGAATGAAAAATAAAGGGAAAAATGAAAATCTAGAGAGATAAGCAAGCGCAAAACCTAATTCTAATCTGAACGCATATTCCAGTTGCTCACAATGAAAGCATTGTCCTGGTCATGTCAAGAGGAGAGAAGGCAGAGGTCAAAGCCCTGGCCACACACAGTGAGGCATCTCCCAGGAAGCTCTTTGCACAACAATGGTGCCTCAGGGGCTTCAGCCTGAGGATGAGAGGGAAACAAGAACCACACACCTCACAGAATTACAGTGTGTTCCAATCTCCTGAGTCCTCTTTTCATCTCTTATCACCTGAAGTTTATCCATGGACCCATGACATGAGCAGCACTGGGGGGACCTTAGACCTTCTCACTCTTGGGTGTCACCCCAGACCAACTGTATCAGATTGTATACTTCTACAAGGTCCTTTGTAGGAGCAAATCTGAATCCTCTCAGGAGAAATATCCTACCCTGTAGAACTCAAATTAGTCCTGAAATGAATTTTTGTAGGACAATTTCCAGCTAATAGTCAAAGTAATGAGAGAGAAAATTAGGCTCCATAAAAGAGAAGCAGCAGAAACAACAGACAATAGAAGCAGAACTAAGGGACTTCACATGGTGGAATTATCAGGTGTAGTTTATCAAAGAACAATTTAAGTCACAACAGTTACTGTGAAAAGGATCATAAAGATAAACAGACTTGAACATGTATGTGAATTGTTAGCTATAAAAAAGCCCATAGCAGACTTAAAAAAGCACCATAGAAATTCTAGACATGAGTGTTTAGCCTGATTCTGGGAGCTCGTTGGCTGGTGACTGACTTGGGGAAGCAAAGCTCTTGTGTGAACAAGCTAGACAGCTGGAGATCAGCATCATTGAAATGGGATGTAACACTGGCTGAGGGTTGGTCTGGTCCTCAAATATGCTGGTAGAGGACATTTTAAGACATTTTTCTAAAAAGGAGACATTTTCCTATGGTCAGAGCCCTTGAAATCCTTTCTAGCTTGACTTCTCCTTGTGTAGGTTTGGGAATCCATTCCAAGCTTGGTAGATCCCCCACCACCTTGGGACAAATAACTCCACAATGTGTAATTTTCAGGAATGTATGGATAATCTGTACATGACACAGAGGGAGCCCACCTGGGGAACACAACAGGTGCCAGGCAGCTCCAGGAGACATCTGAACTGTGAGCCAGGCTGACTGTGCACATTTCTGCATGAATCTGAGCCAGCCCTGTCTACTTGCTCACATTCTCAGAACTTCACCATCCTCACAAATAAAAGGAGAAAGTACCAGCATCCTTCTTTTGGCCTTCTGTCCTGCTGGTTTAGTTTAATACCCATGTTGCTCTACTAAACACTCCAAAAGAGAGGTTGGGCCATGTTTCTTGTCCATCTTTGCCCTTTGGAACCCCGTGTACCCTAATTTCTCTACATGTCATGAACCTATTCAAGTTCCACTCTTTTGGTTCATCCTGCCCAGCTTTTCTGTTCATCTTATTCTTGGGTTCCCTCTCTGGGAATCACAGTTACCATTCTGCAGGTGCTCAAACTACTTTCCCTCATCATTTAATCCTCACACTCATCATGTCAGAGAAGCATTTTTGGTATTTTCATCATCTAATATGTGTTCATTCTAGAAAAATTAGATAATACCTGGAAACAAAAAGTAAATTAGAATCCACTCTATTTCACTACCCAGAGATAACTTCACCCTTGTTCATATTTAGCATATCTAGACTATTTTTCTATCTTTTTTTTTGCAAGAAATAAGATTGGTAAGCTAAGCATATGATCACATAACCTATTTTTATTCACTGACAACAGATTATGAACCTCTTTCCATGTTAGCAAATAATATACCTACAACATAATTTTTTTTTAAGATTTATTTATTTAGTCATATAGAACTGGGGTACAGGCCAGAGATGCGGAGGGTGAGAGGATTCACCAGAGACAGAGCGGGGAGCAGAACAGGCAGATTGAGGAAGTACACTGCTGAGGGGAGCAGTGGGCAGGCCAGGAGAGGTCTGCCGCGCCATGTGGATCTCCTCCAGGGCAGGCAGGAATCGAACTCATGCGGAAGTGGCTTAAGCTTCTTAGTGCAGTGCTTTAACCCACTGCGCCACCAGGGAGGGCCCAACATAATTTTTAATGCTGTAACAGAACACATCAATGATGACTCCATCTAGCAAATCTTCCATCATTGGCCACGTGAATTAATTCCACTCTTTACTACTAAAACTGCACCTTGTAGCCATATTGTTGTGATTATTCTTAATTATTTCTCTAAAATAGATTCCTTGATGTAGAAGTAGATTTGTGCTTTAGATTTTGAGAAATTTCTGCTCCAGAAAATTGGTACTATTTTAGACTCCCAACAACAATCTATGAAAGTGAACATTTATTTGCACCCTAACATTTGGGTATTATTATTTGTGTCATCTTGGTTAATTTCATAAGCAGCCTTTTATTGCTGTTCTAATTTTATTATAAATAAGGTAGGATATTTTTTCATGTTTCCTTACCATTTGATTCTTTTTATTTTGTGAATTAAACTGTATGTCTTCTGAATATATTAACACTTTATCTGGAACACAGAAATAAATATCAGTACTATGATACATTGCAGCCCCCAGATTTGTAAATAGTCCTCTCAAATTTGTCATTCTTTTAATTAATTATATTTCATTAATTTAGGCCACATCAAGGTTGAGGTTTTGATGTGAACCAACTAATAAACTCTGCCTTTGCTTGCATGCTTAGAAAGATCGTTCCTACTCTGAGATTATATACACAATCACTTTAGAGTATTTTTATCATTTCATCTTTTACTTTTCCATCATTAATACTTCTGGAATTTATTTTCATAAAAGAAAGGGAGAGGGAGCTGTGGTATTTCACAAAAGACTAAACAGTTTTCCTACTCAACATTCTAAGTATCTTTCAAATGGAACCAGAGCAGAGACATTTTTGTATCGAGACCTGTGAATGGCTATATCTCTGAGTAGAAAGGAATTAATTACTGCATGTCAGAAATCAGCATGGGGCCAGAGCTATTAAACATACTAATGGCTTGGATGGAAGAAGAGCTTGAAGCAGGCTGTGAGCTTCTCCCTGTCCAATGGTGATTTAAGTGGGTTACTTATAGCCCAAGATGACAGAGTGAGGAAAGCCAGACAGTCCTGGGTGTCGGGGTGTCAGCAGACAGAATTGCATCTGGTTGTCATCAGCCTGTGAGTCTCACCCGACTCTTTAGCTCTCATTATGAAGACAGGAAAGTGAGCAGGAGGCCTGAGAAGGGCCAGCGCCTTCAAAAGCATCAGCCCTTTGTGGTCAGGCCTAGAAAGAACACACCCTAAGGCTTCATTAGCTTCCTTCCCAAGCAGCATCTGTGCTCTGGATTCCCCTCCAGCGCGGCTGACCTCTTTGCCTTTGTTCCATGGGCTTCTGGCTTCTGCCTCACTCTCCTGCATCCTCCACCCCACTGTTCTTCAAGGCACATATTTCATATGAAAACCATCCTTCCCTAGACTTCTCCCTGCATGCTGACGCTGTATGACTGTCCTACCACTCTATGATTTTTCCACCCTTAAACTGTTTTTCATTACGCTATTTTTTTCTGAAAGTGGACCTTGGTTATTTTACAGGCAAGAAACATCATGATATACTTGACAATGACAACTGGCTCCCACGTGTTTTTATATAAACCTCTGAGTAATCCTGACAGGTAGGTGGGCAAGATCGTGTGGACAAAGCCCAGATCTGAGGAGTGTTTTAGTCTGAGGGGCACAGTGAATCAGGCACAATCTGGAACTCCGCCACGGAGCTCTGCTGCCCACCTCTGTGACCTCTTTCCTACTCGATGTGGTTTTTGAAAGTCCTCTTGTTCAATAAAACTCAAATAAATTTCTGTGTTGCAGTCCCAGGTAGGTTTTGAGGTACCAGGAGAGTCGCCCCTAGTCTCCCAGAGGGTTCATTCAAGAGCATTTGTTGTGCATTTCCCGTATACAGAGTGAGAGGTGGGTTAGGAGTGTTGACCACAGCCAAGCTGCTGGTCAGGAAAGGCCTCACAAGCATACTGGATTTCAGTGGGTGCGTTGGACCCATCACACAGATGAGCTTTGGGTCTTTTTTTTTTTTAATATAATAGTTTATTTTTACATCATTTTGTACTTTTTTTTTTTTTTTCATCTCAATTGTAATTCCTGTGGAGAGCTTTGGGTCTTTTAAAAGCAACCATTGTCTTGTCCTGCCTGGTACTCAACTCCCAACTTTCCTCTCCTCCCTCCCCTGTCTCCACTGACCTCAGCTAATACAATCACATCCTCTGGCGCAGCTGTGGGGTCATGTTATTCCAGTGATATTTGACCCTGGAGTTTCTGAGATATTTACTTGGGGGGGTGGGGTTGTCAGCCTCTTGTTGGGGTAGCTAAGAGCTGGTCACCATCTTGTTTTTGTGAGGGGAAAAACTGCCTGAGGGCCACCCTCAAAGAAGAAAGGAACTGAGAGAGAGGGTAAGACTAAGACTTCAGGACTTGTCTAGGTGCTTTATCAAGCCACTTCTGAAAGCAGGCATGTGAACCAAGAGGTTCTTTTGCTTATTAGTTAAACCTTTTGAGTTGGTTTCCTATCACTTACAACTCAGGAGCCTTTAACTAAGTCAGTCCCATCCAAACCCATAGCAATGTGAGTCTGGCAAATTGGAAAGTGGGATGGGCTCCACGCTGCCTCAGCACTTAGTACTTCTACTTTGCAGGCCAAGTGGCTCAGCATTCAGGAAAAGATCATCCTGATCTCAAAGTGGTCGATTTTTGTTCCTGGTGGCCTGAGTTTTGCGGCTGACAGGACAAACAAGGCAATCCCCAAAGCATTTCCTGTAGAGGTGTCCAGCTATGGGAATCCTATTTGAGGGATGCAGGTGATGGCTGGGAAACCTCTACTATGTCTTTCTAGAACAACACCCTCCCTTGTTCTGGAAAATAACTCCTCCCCTGCTCTAGTCATGTGGCTTGAATAGGGGGCTGTCAGTCTACACAGCCATGTGGCCAACGTGGTTGGCTTAGAGTGAACACCTGCCCAAGGATGGGCTGGAGAAGACAGCTTGGCCCTTCTCCAACTATGAGATGTCTAGAACCATGAGTGACCAGGTCCCTTGAACTATGAAAGAAATAGAACTTGGCATGAAGGATGAGGGATAGAGATGGGGCAGGTGTAATGGGGTGATTTTCTACTCCCACATACCTTTTGTCTTTGAGATCACACCCTATGCTCCTTTTGATCCAGTAAGCCTTCGAATATATCCTCTGGCAAGTAGCTAAGCCACTAAGCTGAGTCAGAAGTCTGTCCTCTGTGACCCATAGGGCCTTCCCCAGCTGCTGACTTTCTGAAGACCAGTCCTAGCGCGGAGCTAACTAGCTACCTGTTAGGTCAGGGCGCCTGTAGCTCTGGCTCACAGTAGAATTACACAGTGGTACCAGGCCCAGATCTGGATTTATACAGATCAACAAGAGTGTTTTGTTTTGTTTTGTTTTGTTTTGAGTTTTGCATTCATATTTATTTTTTTTATTTTATAACAGTTTATTTTTACATCATTTTGTACAACAACAACAAGGGTGTTTTTAATCTGCCCAGGTGATTTTAGCGAGTGTCCCTCCTTTGTAAAACACTGTAGAGATTGAGATGGCTCATGTGCCACTTTCAATGGCAGTCAGCTGTGGGGGAGAGACCATTCTGTGACCTCAGAATTGGAAGGGCGGCTCAGTCCAAGTCCTCCACTAACTGGTCACTAATTCTGTGACTATAGGCAGGTCCCCACTAGTCTAGGATAGAGGTTCTCATAGCAAGCAAACACCTCAGGATCCAAATCCTGCAGATCCAAGAACAGAGCCTGCACTTCCATGTCACACACCCCTCACACAGCAGAGGGGGACTTGGTGACATCTTTGCATCTTTTCTGTAGTCAGAATTGAAGCCTCAATGGAAAGAGAGGGCAACTTCCCTTCAGCAGAGGAACAGCCAGGAAATGGTCTCCACCGTGGCTGACATGGAGTGTCTGTATCCTGATTTCCCGTCCCACCCCCAGAGCCAACCCTGCCCCCAACTCTACCCCAACCCCATCGAAGTTCCTGTAGGAACACCTCAAAGATTCCTTGTTCAACAGCCAGCCACCCATCAAGGCTACTTAATGATCAAATCAGCCTTCCTAGGCCTTTTCCTAGAGCATTTTAATCTCTGTCCTTGTTCTCCCCTGGATTTTTTTCCACCACTCTTTGGCTTTAATAAATGCCTTTCCAGAAGGCTTCAACCCGGCTGGAAGTATACTTGAACAGCAATTCTAAGTCCTTATTAGCTCTATAGTGATCAGGTGAAGGAATAATTGATCTCAATCAGGAACACCTGGTTTCATAATTGCACAAATGATTATAATTCAATAATAAAAGTCAATTTAACTAACTTAATTCAGATTGCTTTAACCTCTCGCAGACAGTTAAGAAGTGAAGAAGCAAAGCAGGGAGGAAGAAAGGAGAAAGTAAAGAAAAAGGAAAACAAAGCTGCATCTAAACTTCCTGACCAAATAGGGCACTAACAGAGTGGATTCATTTTCCTCCACGCTTAGCATGTTCTGTCACCTCTGGGTCTTTGTTATTACGTTATTTCTGTAGAGCCCTTCCCCCATCTCCACGCTTCCAAACCCTGTCCATTTTTCCAATTCAAGCTCAAATTCCTTTACAAAACTTTGGGTGCTCAGAATTGAGGAGATCCCCAATTTCTCCATGGTTCTTGAATGACAGCGGAACCCCAGGAAGGAAAATAACATCCGCTGTCTCACAAGTCAGTCAGACTTTTGTTCCTGACATCACTTAGTTCTCAGTGAAGGGGAACCGAGGCTCAGGAAGCCTAAGAGTTTGCTCAAAGTGCATAGCTGGAGAGCAGGCAGAGGCACGGTTGGAACCAGAGTCTGTGCCCTCTGCCATGTGCCCTGGCAGGCCCTAGGGTGCCCTGGGCCTTCCTGGGCCCTCGACATTGTCAGCGGTGGTGAGCTTCAGCAGCTGCCACTTTGACTCCATGAAGAATGTGGCCAAGAAGTTGCCGGTGGGTCAGGCTCCCTGGCTTCCATGTTGGCTCTGCCCTTTCTCCCTCTCCAGCCCACGGGGGTCCAGGTGGACTTGCAGCCCTCCCTAGCGAGTCACTTCAACCTTGCAAATACCGGAAACAGATAATTGAGGAACATGACCTGGGGGATCAAAGATACTGTGACAGACCGAGGCCCAGAGGTGGGGAAATGTCTACATGCCCTGCTCTGCCCACTGGGAGAACTGTAGGAAGAGAGTATGTGGGGCTGGGGGCAGCAAAGCAAGAGCATATGGGGTTGTACTAAACCATGGGATCATTCAGGAAACATTCATGGAAAAGCTACCAGACTCCATGGAAATTCTGAGCTTGCGACTGCTACAACTATGATTATCATTAATGAGGATAACACCACTTGCTCTTTAGTACCATAGCCTGCTAAGGACATGTACACACTGTCCGTTTCTCTTCAGTCTCATAAAGTAGGTATTGTGTCAGCTCCCTTATACGGATGGGAAAACTGAGGTTAAGGAAAACTTAGTCATTTATCCAGGGTCACAGATCTCATTGGTGGTAGACAGAGCTAAGACTCAAACCCAGGTGTCCGACTTAAAAGACAAAGCTCTTCACCAGCTCTCTGCAGAACATCTCGTTTGTCTCAAAGCATGGCCCTACTCTCTGGGGTGCGTTGCCTGGAGGGGAATATGGCATCCACATGGATAGTAAGAACTCAGTACAAAAGTGGCATGGACGCATATACAGGCTGTAGTGGTAGAAATAGAGAAAAGTGTGATTTATCTGGGGCTAAAATTGGAGAGTCACCTATCAGGGAAGGCTTCATGTAGGAGGGAATAATATTTGAGCTCAACGAATAAGGCTATTTATGACAGGTGAGGGATGCTCCAATGAAAGCGACCAGCTCAAGCCCAGGCCCAGACATGGAAGGAAGTCTGGCGTGTTTAGGAAATACTCAAATGTCTGGTGCCCTGGGGTGGTGTGAGAGCCAGTGTGAGGTACATGAACTGAGGCAGAAGAAATGTGCAGTGTGTTCTCTGGAAGGTATGTTGAAATGCAAGGCCTGGTAAGTAGGGGGTTAAAATAACTGACATAGTTGGGGAAGATGTTGGTGGCTGGCAGACATGGGGGTAGGAATCCATGTGCAAAAAAAAAAAACCAAAAATTTTAAAAGGCTAGACCCGGGAGTGGAGCGGGGCATCATTCCCTCAGGTTTCAGGTACACTGTGCTATTGACAAGCAGAGAACCCCTTGTTCATGTCTGGGTAGTGGATTGGTCTCCATGGGGTCTCCCCTCTATGGCTCTCAAAGACAGAGTTCTCATTTGACAGGGATGTACTTGCCAGTTTCTGAACAAAGTTTCTATTTTGGAAGACTGTAGCCCTAGTGGATAGTGTTTCTTGGAGAAGCTGTCACTGTCGGCTATATCATCTCCCCTCACCCCACCTTGACAGTTCGGTTTTAAAGTAATTTATATTGATTGTAGAAAAATGAGAAAATGCAGATAAGCAAAAATTCTTTAAAATTTCCTGGAAATGTCATCCCTCAGAGCAAGTGCTGCCAGGCCTTTGGTGTCTGTTCATCCAGACATTGCCCAATGGTCCTGGGAAGAGTGTGTGTGGACCTGATTTTCTTTTATGGA